ACATGTGCGCACACATGCATGTACACACACACACACACACACACACACACACACACACACACACACACACACGCACACAGTGATGGCCAGGCAAGGGCTGACAAGGTGAGGTGCCAACTCCGAACTGCTATCTGAATTGACCAACCCTTTAGATTTTCCGTCATGTCAGAGTAACCGGAGAAGAAATGGGAGTAGCCTTAGTGTCACGGAGACAAGGAAGGACAGAGTAGAGCAAAAGGGCAGAGGTGAACAAAACCAAGCGGGTCCAGCTAGGCCCAGAGGTGACAAGACAACACTCGGCCAATGGTGTTTGAGGGGAGTTAACCAAAAACATCCAGCACCCAGAATGTGCTATCAGTCTCTCAGCAGCATCACCATCATCGTGGTTTAGAGCTGGCACCCCCTTTAGGAATCCAGGCCCCTTAACTCACCCATGAGGAACCTGAAGGCTGGGGGAGGGTAACTCTGCAGATGCTGGAGGCAAGTGTCCTGGGTCTCAAGGGTGGGTCAGATAGAGATGATTCCCATAGAGAGAAGAGAGAGCCTCAGTAGAGGGGAAAGGGACAGGGGCCTTTTAGAAGGGCAGGACTCATAAGATCCCACCTTTGTCTTATCTACTCCAGCGTGGCCGCCACAGACACTAAGTCCAGCCAACATTGCACTTAGCTAACCCTGAACTTCTGGCACTGGCCCTCAATGATCCTGAAGTACCTCCCCTAGGTGGAAGGTCCTGTTACGGTACCTGTTTTATGGACAAGGTCTCAGAGAGAGGTACAACGGCTTCACCAAGGATTGCAAACAGACGGTCCGACTCCAGACTCCACACCACCGACTCTACTACAGTACACAGTGGTCTGTTCCACCCGTACTCAAATTTTCTGTCTTGCGCACATACACAACATTCATGCCCCCTTTTGGAGTTAGACATAGACCTTGGCTTGTTTTAACCAATGAAATGTGAGCAGAAAGAACATGTCAGTTCCTGGCAGAAGCCTAGTGAATATCAGAGCCCTCCTCCTGTGGTAGCATCAATGATAGAGACACTTCTAGACGAAGCCCCCCTCCCTAGGGAAACTAGGGTAAACAGAGGTCTATTCCCATCCTTGGTGGACAGATACCTTGAGCAGGGACTATGCTTGGCTCGAGGAAGCCATGTGAATGGGGCTGTTTGTTACTGCAGCATCTGCTGGCCTGTGCTGACTGACGCAACCACTCTGCCATTTCTTTCTCCCTGGGGCTCAAGAGTTGAGAAAGTAAATGAGTCAGGACCATCTCTACCTCTCATATGCCCCCAAAGGAAATACTGGTTGAGCTCAGAATGAGAAGAAATGCTGTCTACTCCTACATCTTCTTTCTTTTCTTTTTTTTTTAATCTTTATTTTTATTTTCTCTGTATGATGTTTTGCCCGCATACATGCATATGCACCACCTGTGTGCCTGGGCCTTCTGGGACCAGAAGAGAGAGCCTCTGGGCCCCTGGAATTGGAGAGTCACAGATGCTGTGAGCCACCATGTGGTTGCTGAGACTTGAACTCACATCCTCTGTCTGGAAGAGCAGCCAGTGTGCTCAACCACTGAGCCAACTCTCCAGTACCCCCAACATCCTATTTCTATGCAGATGAAAAATGAAGACCCACAGGAAGGGGTCACCAGGGATGCCTAGGACCCTTGGCCCAGATCTTCCTCTCCACATCTCTGTGTCTCTCTCCTCATTTGCTGCCTGTCTGTAGCGTCTTTCCCTGCCACGACTTCCCCCATTTCTCTCAAAAAATAAAACAAAAAAGTCAGTCCTTGGACAAACTCACCTCCATAGTCACCCAAACCAGGGACTCCTAACTGTAGACAAGGCACTCTTCTCAGCTGAGACAGAAGACCTGAAGGGGGGGCAGGGGGCAGGGGGCGGGGGAGGGAGCTTAGAACTCTCCCCTAAGAAAATATATGGTTCTCCTCAGAGCCAGAGCGCCTGGAAGCTTGGGCATCAAACCAAACCCCTCGCCACCTGCCCTGGCTCAGCTGGGCACCTCACACAGGTAAAAACCCAGAAGCGACGGGTAACGGCACCCTTGCCATTCCCGCGAGGCGTGGAATGAATGTTCTTCTCCCTCCACCCTGGCTTCCAGTCTCAGCACCAGCTCTGGTCCCCATCCTGACTCCCATTAGCTTGATGGCCGAGGAGCTGGAGGACAGCAGGCTGAGGACACTGAGGGCAGCTTGGCTCCTGGCTCCTCAGCTCCCCAGAAGCAGAGGCCACCACCCCACCCCACTACTGGAACTTGTTTCCGAGAGCCTTGGAACCCTCCGGGAGAATTTGGACACTGCTCTGTGCAGCATAGGCAAAAAACAAAGCCCTGCCCCCACCCAAGGGGTGCTGGGACCTGGGCATGGGGCTCAGAACTGCGGGCCAAGGAACTAATGGGACTCCTGGAGGCTCAAACTGTGGTGTCAGCCAGGGCCAAGCTGGCTGGCTCCACACCAGCGCAGAGGGAGGTGGAGGCAGCTTTGAGGAGGAGGGCAGCAGGAGCCAGACGGCTCTCTCCACCACAACCCAGGATTCTCACTTCTTCCTAGTCAGAAACCTGGGCCTGGGTCTCCAACGGCACGGAACACAAAAAGCTCCATCCCACATATGACAGACTGAGCCCTCCCCTCTGGGCCACAGGCTGCAGAGCGCAGCGGCTGAAGAAAGAGTTGGCTACGGCAAAAGAAAGTCACTAAGGCGGGTCCTACTCCAGTATACCCATGGTCCCTACCTAAAGAGGAGAACAGAACACAGACACACAGATGGAAACACCTGCGGACACAGGGCAAGGGCAGAGTCCACACGCTGAGGGGACAGGCCTCAAGGACATCAGCCTTGCTCTCAGAATCCAGTCCCAGAACTGAAAGAGCAACTTTCTGTCACTTAGCGCCCACCTGTGGTGCCTTCAAATGGTAACTCAAGAGAGCTAAGACAATAGACTCCCAGGAAGAAGTCCCTGAGATGGCAGGTACCCCTTCTCCCTGGCCATTGTACCTGGACAGAGCCTATTTCCAATATGGGCTTCCATCTCTTTCCTCTCTTCCCTCTCTAGCTCCTCCTCCTAGCCTATGCACAGATGAACCACATTGTTCCCCACAACTAAGGTGACAAGAGTCTCCCACTTCCTCCTCTTGACCATTAGTCACACACACACACACACACACACACACACACACACACACACACACACACACACAAAAGACCCCTTTTCCCCCAGGATAGAGAACCTTCCACAGAAAGGCTCCCCGACAGGAACAGGGACTAGAACATAGTCCATGCTCAAGCTTTGGGTTTGCCCTGGGGTCTCCAGGCCCGATGGGGATGCAGCCCAGGGGCAGGCAGCAAGACACACACAGTCAGAGCCCAGGGCAGCTATTTCCTGGCAACTGCCCCAGCCTAGGCTGTCAGGCCAGGCAAGGAAGGCGAGAGCAGAGCCCCGATCTGCCCCTCTATGGGCAAAGGGCCAGCTTCTCTGCCTGAGCATAGAAGCCCCTCTGTCCTGATAAGACCAGCCAACCTTGTAACTGGCCTGAGGTCCTGCCAGCTCCATTCCCCTGCTGGGGAAACAGATCATTGGGTGACGGCTGCAGAGCCAGTCAGGACCTTCCCTTGTCTGTCCTGCCTGTCCACTGAACCCACCTGCCACCCCAGGTTTCCCTGTTCAGACCCTAGCCCTCCATTCTCCTTCCTTCCCTTGAACTGGTTCCATCCATTCCTTCTAGTCCTTAATTTTTCTACCTTTGATTCTCCTGGCACTTCGGAGCTCATGAAATGTTTTTATATTTATCACCACATTGAATCCCTACCAGGGAGAGATGGAGAGGTATTAAAAATTCCTTCAAATTGCCAAGTGTTCTTGTTAAAAATGCAAAACTTCCCCAAAACGAGAAACGGCGAGGCTGGTTGGCGGCAGCGGCAGCTTCAGAGACAATCCATTCCATCCTCAGCTCCAACCCATGCCCAGGCCACTCAGGCACTTAGAAGATGGGAACTGGGTATGGGGGCGGGGAGGAAGGACCACAGTGGGAGGAGGCCCCCTGAGAGGGTACAAGGGCAAGCCACCAACCTTGGGGTGCTGCACATAAAGGCACTCTTATGAAACCGCTGAATCCTCAGCTAGCCTCCCTCCTCCATCCTGTCTGATACCCGCTTCCAGAGCAGAGCCATATAGGATGCCTGGGCAAGGGTGACAGAGGACAGCCATGCAGAGGTAAACAGGTGAGAGTCCCAGGCCATGTTCTCCCTCCCCAGGACCACTCCATCACTGGAGCGAGCCCCAGATGGCTTTGGTGGGGAGAGAGGTTGCCACTGGTGTCCTGGAGAGGGCACAGCCTGGGTCTGAGGGGTAAGTCATGGTCCTGCCTTTCAGAAGATCTCAGTCACCCCAATTCTGAAGACAGATGCAGGGCACCCTCCAACCTGCTCTAACATTCTGCCACCCTGTGGCTGAACCAGAAAACAAGCCGGGGGCTACAACCCAAGGGGCATCTCAAGGGTGCCTAGCTTCGTCCTCGATCTCTACCCCTCCTCCTTCCTACATATCCCAAGAGCCAAACAAATAAATGGACCCGCCAAGAACGCTCCAGGGCACACCTGCCTGCAGCTGGGTATGAAATATGCTGGTGTTTTCAGGCACGTGAAGTAGGCACAGGCACTGTTCCCGCTCTGCACCTCGTTTTGGTGTTGTTTTGTTTTGTTGTTTTTTCTCTCTTGCATCTTGGAATGCCACGTTAAGTTCTCAGACATTTTTTGCGGGGTCCTCGTGGAAGCTGTTAGACCCCAAACACTTCCATCTACATACCCATGCTCTGACCTCTAAGAATACAGCCTGGAGACACCTGAGGGCAGGTTCCAAAGAGACAGAACACAGACTGCCAGCTGCATGTAAAGCCACCTCCTCTACAGAGACCCCAGAGAACCAAGGTCACACAGGCCAGGGCTGCCCAGCTCAGCGAGAGCCTGGCAGTCATGGGTCACCTACCCTCCATGCCATCCTCACGATGTCCATTGAAGTTGTCGTAGGAATCCCAGCGGATGAGGGGGTCAGAGGTGTTATAGTCTACAGAGACACTGGGCCCATTCTCCAGGTGTTCCATGCCTGTGGGGAGCCGGCAGGGGACAGAGGGGACGGAGAGGACAAGAGATAAGCATCTAGTAAAGCAGAAGGCCAGTGAGCTCCCCCATGGAACCGCTTGTTGTCTTGAATGTCTAGAGTGGGACAATAACTCGGGTTGCCTCAAGAACCCAGGAGTCTTGGACCAGGTCATAGGGGCAAATCAGGACAGGGCACTGATAAAGAAAGAACCCACACACACACCCTAGAGAAAGCATGTCCCCACCCTCTGCGTGGCTGCTTCTACATCATCTATGGCCCTGGGGCAGGAGCAAGGGTCAGCTCTGGAGACCGGAGAAGGGATAGGGGACAGGCTTGTCTTAGACCTCCTGTAGGTAGGTAAAGCAGGGAAATCACAGCCAGGATATTGAGAGGACACAGCCTGGTAAAGGTCGTCCCAGGCCTGTCTCTGCCCCTCCCCCCGCCCCCCCCCATTTAAGATGTTCCCTATTCCAGACAGACATCCGCAAGGAGAGGCCAGTCTCTTTTGTAACCTCAGAGTCAACACAGCAACTAGTGTGTTAGCCCATCCAGGGTAGCCTGTTTTCCTGGCCTGCCTTCAGTCTTCCCAGAGTCCCTCTGCCTGTAACCTAACTTCATCTCCTCCCATTCTGTTCTCAAATAAGATGAAGAGCAACTGGTCTCCATGTTTAGAGTCCAGAGGAAGAAAGGATATTATTAAACTGGCCTCCGGGTCGAGCCACTTTGGTTCATAAATACCCACTATCCACCCAGCACCTTGGAATGTGCTCTGGCTGTCCCTTCCGTCTGCCAAGGCCCTCAGTCTCTGAATATAACAAGATAGTGACCTAAAGGGACCAGAACAGCTCAGTCAACTCAGCGCCTCACTGTCGGCCTTTATTTTTGTTAGATAGACATTAAGGTGCTGGATCAGGTTTGGCTGGAAGTCCGCTCTGATACCCTGGTCCTTTACCTTGACCCACCTCTCTAACATCCTGTTTGGAGAGCTGACCAGTGGGAGGATGTGAGAGTGGGTGGATGCTGAGGAGAGTGAGACGGGACAGGTGGGGATGCTGAGGAGAGTGAGACAGGACAGGTGGGGATGCTGAGGAGAGTGAGACGGGACAGGTAGAGATGTGAGAGTGAGACGGGACAGGTGGGGATGCTGAGAGTGAGACAGGACAGGTGGGGATGTGAGAGTGAGACGGGACAGGTGGGGATGCTGAGAGAGAGACGGGACAGGTGGGGATGCTGAGAGTGAGACTGGACAGGTGGGGATACAGGGAAAGGGCTGGACCATGGTCTGTACCTTGAATTTTCTCTGGCCCATAGGAAAAGACAAACTCCACTTTGCCATAATCAGGAAATCGATCATCTGAAAGAGAAGGAAAGGAAAAAATGGACCCCGGATCCCCAAAAAGAAAGGTTTCTTGTAGAAAAGGACTCAGTCATATATGCACACCTGGTTAATAATAACACAATAGCGTCATCTACATTTACCTTTCACACAGAGGAAGTTGCACATACATATACAGTGAAAAAACTCTTTTGAGACAGGCTCTCAGGTAGCCCAGGCTGGCCCCAAACTCACTATGTAGCTAAGGATGGACTTCAATCTCTTGCCCTCCCATCTCTTCAGTGTTGAAATTATAGGTGCTGGGGATCAAGCCCAGGGCTTCGCAAGCACACTAGGCAAGCACACTCTCCACTGAGCTACACACCCAGCCCAATCCCACATTGGAACTGCAGGCCGCACCCTTGCCAGAGTTCTGCTTCCTGAGGCAAACACAACCCTTTCGGTTTCTGACTACAGTATCCCATCTTTAAGGCTCTAGAACACAGTCACTATTTGTACCACTATTTCTAGAAGTCAGTTCTAAACCCCCTTGCTTCACCACTATGAAGGTGGATTATTTGTCTCCTGTTACTTCTCCTCTCCCCCCACCTTTTTAATACAGGGACAGTTTGGGTTTGAACTCAAAATCCTCCTGCCTCAGCCTCCTGAGTACTAGGTTACAGACATACTCTACCATACCCAGCCTCCTTTCTTTTTAAATCTGGGTAAGTTTGTATTTATTTCACTGATTCCCTCGGACACTGTGCTGGCTAGTTTTATATCAACTTGATACAAGCTAGAGTCACTGGAGAAAAGGGAGCCTCCACTGAGAAAATGCCTCCATAAGATCGGGCTGTGGGTAAGCCAGTAGGGAATTTTCTTAATGAGTGATTGATGGGGGAAGACCCAGCCCATTGTGGGTGATACCACCCCTGGGCTCTCTAAGAAAGCAGGCTGAGCAAGCCATGGGGAGCAAGCCAGTAAGGAGCACCCTTCCACGGCCTCTGCATCAGTTCCTGCCTCCAGGTTCCTGCCCTTTTTGAGTTCCTGTCCTGACTTCCTTCGATGATAAACAGTGATGTGGAAGTGTAAGCCAAATAGACCCTTTCCTCCCCAACTTGCTTTGGTCATGGTATTTGATGACAGCAGTAGTAACCCTAACTTGGACAGATACTGTGGCTACACTTCTGTTTGTGGGTCTCCATGCTTGCTTTTTCTATCACTTGGCAACAAGTCAAGGAAATTATAATGAAATATTCCCACTTGTTCTTTGTATCACCAAACTCCACTACCTGTAGGAAGTACCCCAAAGGCAAATGGCAAATGGATGTGTTTCATTTTGCAGAGTTTGGAAAAAATTAAAATATGTACACCATACCATATATATGTATATGTATGTGTGTATATATATATATATATATATATATATATATATATATATATTCAGGATTTCAATGGGCATCCATTTGCTTTGAGTTCTGAAAAGGTTGATTCTGTAATCACACATTAATTAGAAGTTACGGCCATCATGGTGATACCTGCACAAATTAAGACTGACAACATTCCAGCATATGTCTATAGTAAAATGAAACAGATTTTTTTTCATATTATAATATAAAGCATATTACAGGTATACCACACAATCTTACAAAGCAAGTAGTTATAGAAAGATCTAATTGCACTCTAAAAGATATGCTTAAAAAAAAGAAAGAGGTAATAAAGACACCCCTCCCCCCCCACCCCCGCAGAGATAGATTGCATGATGCTTTACTAACTTTAAGCTTTTTAACCACTAGTGAGAAAGGAATGACAGCTACAGAGAGACATTGGATAATAGGAAAAAACTACAAAATTAAATCAGCCTGTATACTGTGGTGGTAATCTAATTGTATTGAAATATTATTTTGATTTGTACTGAAATATTAATTTGATTGTATGTTAATAAATAAAGTTGTCTGGGGGTCAGAGCTATTAGAGCTATAGCAAGAGTGTGGCGGTGGTGGCACACGCCTTTAATCCCATAGATATCTGTGTGTTCAGGGTCAGAGCTATTAGAGCCATAGC